ATTTCGCCTCCGGACGGGCAGCAGACGGGGAGAGGAAGCCACAACAAAGCTGCGGAAAACACAGCGCCGGGGCCAACATGGCGACCGCCGCCACTTCCTGTCACCTTTCACCTCCCCCTCATCTGGGTGCAACCATGTGCCGAAGAATCCGGGGGGAGGTGACCTAGACAATGGGAAGAGCCACAAGTTGCAACATCCATCCGCAGCCAGCTCCTGTTAGACCCCACTGTGAGCAGGTTATGGACATCACATCTTAGGAAGGATGTCATGGCCCTGGAGGGAGTTCAACGCAGGTTTACCAGCATGACAACAGCATTTAAAAAAAAAATGCGGATGTTGGAAATCAGAAGCCAAAACAGAAATTGCTGGGAAAAACTCAGGAGGTCTGGCAGCATCTGTGGAGAGAAATGACAGTTAACGTTTTGGGCTACCATTAGTTTTGAGGAAGGGTAACTGGACCCGAAACATTAACTCTGATTTCTTGCCTCAGATGCTACCAGACCCCTGAGTTTTTCCAGCAATTTGTTTTTGTTTACGTTTCAGGTTCAGTTCTGAAGAAGGGTCGCTGGACCTGAGCAAACTCTGATTTCTATCCACAGATCCTGTCAGACTTGAGCTTTCCCAGAAATTTGTTTTTGTTACTAGATTAATACCTGGACTTTAGGGGTTATGAAGGGAGATTAGACAAGTTAGGCTTTTATTCTCCAGAATTTAAAGTCAAAGGATGATCTAATCAAGGTCTTCAGGATATAAACAGCAAAAGACAGTACATAAAGAAAGATAAGCCATTTCCACAGTTTGAAGAAATTAGAACCAGGGGCACTAAGAATTATGGCCAGGCCATTCAGGAGAGCGAGTAGAAAGTAATTCCACATGTAAAAAGAGTAATGAAGGCTTGGAATGCTCTTCCTCAAACAGCAGTCAATGCTAATTCAATCGTTAAATTTAAATCTGAGATAGACATTTTTATTAAGCATGCATATCAAGGGATACAGGCTCAAAACAGGCCCATGGAACTCAGCCACAGATCAACCACAATCTCAAGGGGCTGAATGGCATACTCTTGTTCCAAAAAGTTAACTGTTTCTCTTCTCAGACACTGTCAGACCTACTGAGTTTCTCCAGCATTTTCTGTTTTTGTATCCATCCACTGCATTCCCTAGCTTTAAACCCTGCTGCCTTAATTTGACATTAAAATAATGCTGGGGGAGGAGGTACTCAGCAGGTTGGTTTTTTCTGAACAATATTCTGTTTCTGTTTAAATTTCAGTTACGTTTGAGGCATTTGTGAGGGCATTAGATAACTGTCCTTATTTAAATAATGTGTGGAGTGACTTGTGAAACTCAGTCATAACACTCAGTAAGACGGCAGGTGCAGACACGATGGGCCAAATGGACTTTGCACCACAACATTTGAGATTTTCAGCATCTGCAGAATTTGACTATTTTAAGGCAACTGAAACCAACTTCTCTCCTGATCCTGTCCCCTGTTCCATCCAATTCTGCATCTTCCTCTACTTTAAAATATTCTATCCAATTACGTTTCACTTAGAAAGATGCCCAGCCTCTATTTCCCTGCAGTGAAGAACTCCAAACAACTAAATTAATATCTGTGGTTCTCTCTCCCTACTATCAGGATGTGGCAAGTTCAAATTGAACCCACCCTCGACTCCCATAAGCAAGCACATAATCAAAATGCGTTTGAGTGAAAATATAACTCTTGAAGTTCATAAACGCCTACCATTTTTCTTTCCTGTCAACACAGCACAATATTTAAAAGAACAAAAACACCTGGAACACTGGTCAGGCACCATCTATGGAAAGAAATAGAGTTCACAATTGATGATCACTGGCCTCAAATGTTATGAAAGATCAGGGACCTGAAACATTAACACTTTCTCTCTCAATAAATGCTACCTATTTTTACAACTGTTTTCATTCTTCCAGCATCCACTATATTTTGCTTTGAAATCAAAAGGACATTAATTTAGAGTTTTACAGCATGGAAAGAGCCCCTTCAGACCATCATGTCTATGCCACTCATCAAGCACATATCTGATCTAGTCCCAGCACAGTCTATAGCCTTGTATGCCAAGTGATAATCTAAATACCACCCTTTCAGGCAGTGGGTTCCAGACAGTCACCAGAGCAGATGAAAGAAATTCTTCCTTAAATCGTCTCTAAACCTCTTACTCTTTACATTAAATCTATGTTCCTAGTTATTAATTTAAGGGGTAAAGTTTTTCCTTTTTACTCTATCTGTGCCCCTCAATTTTGTACACCTCACTCAGTTTCCCTCTCTGCTAAGGAAAAACAATCCCAGCCTACTTAGTCTTCCTTCATAGTTGAAACACACTAGCCCAGGCAACATCCTGGTGAATCTCCTCTGTGCTCTCTCTAGTACAATCATATCCTTTCTATAATGCAGTGACCAGAATGTCTAGAGAATGAGAAAACAGTGCTTTTTATGGCCAGGACACCTCAAAGCACTTTTGAAGTGCGATCATCGCTATAATGTAGGAACTATGGCAGCCAATTGACGCACAGCAGCCCTGGGTTCAAATCCCACCACTGCAGATGGTGGAATTTGAATTCAATAAAAATCCAGAATTAAGAGTCTAATAACGTCCATGAATCCATTGTCGATTATTGGAAAAACCCATCTTGTTCACTAATGTCTTTTAGGGAAAGAAATTAACATCCTTACTTGACCTGACTTGCACGTGACTCCAGACCCACTGCAATGCAGTTAACTCTTACTTCCCTGCTAGGGATGCGTAATAATTGCTGGCCGAGCCAGTGATGTCTTCATCCCATTAATTTTTTCTTAAAAAACTACCAGAGAGCCCGTTTCTGTAATGCAGATTGACAGATGCATTGTCCAGGATGGATGCAAACAGAACTCCCCTGCTTTTCTTCTAATACCAATAGGTATTTGTTTTTAAAACACCTACAAGGGCAGGTAGTATCACAGTTTAACATTTCAGCTGAAAGACATATTCTAACAGCACAGCACTGGCATATCAACATTGATTTTTATGTTCAAATCCTTCATTGAAATATGAACCTTTATCTCTCAGAAGAACGCTAAGCCACAAGTTGTCAATTAAGACTGGAACCTTTTGGAAATGTTTTGGTCAATCAAATCTCCCACTTCCTCCACCTCTTTGCCCCACCTCCCACCACCCACACATGGCAGTTAAAGGACATGTATTACAGGTCTCAAACATTTTCTTTGCCAAAAAGTAAGATATAAAAAAAAATGTATCTGACATAGATAAAATCCAATTTCATAGTTCAGCATCTCCAAAACAAGTTAGAGATATGGCAATACTGGTTGCCTGGTATTCTGCAACCTCCCATAGCAAATTTCCCACTTGCAGACAATGTTTCAGGGAATGCTAGGGATATCTCAGTGTTCCAAGGAAGGATTACTGAATCCAAAATGTTAACTGATTTCTCTCCACTGGCCTGCTGATCCAGTAATTTGTTGCAAGAATTCAGGGATTTGAGGCAAAGATGAATGTTAGTTGTTACCTGGGTGTTTGGTAATGCTCCAATGTGTACAAAGATGACAGCCTGGCTGA